GTTATTTCAGTAAAAATACGAGTTTCTTCTATGCTCGTTGAACTAAAATTGTCTTTAAACTAAATTTGTCTTTAAACTAAACTTGTTTTAAAATAAACTGTCCATAAAATAAACTGTTTATAAAATAAACTTTCTATAAAATAAACTTCCTAAAAAATAAGCTGTATAAATTAATTGTCTATCAAATAAATTTGTCTATCAAATTAAATCGTTTATTAATTAATTGTCTATTAAATACGCTTGTCTATTAATTAATCGCTATAAAATAAACTTATCTATGAATTAATTGTCTTTGTATTGAGATGTCTACAAGATGATTTTCTATGAAATGATACGTACCCAGGAAATCAATATTGATACTCGTATTGACCTGATTTGTCTCTTGAGAGAACATAATTTGGAATGCTAGTAAAGCACAAGACAAGCACATCAGATAATAGCGACTATAAAGTATTAAAATAAAAAAGTTCTTTTATTTGCAAAAAAAATATAATATATTATTTTATATTCATTTTGTGTTAAAAATGAGCAAAAATAATGCAACACGCTATTTAAAATAAAGCTTATTCAAAATAAAGCTTGTATCTATAAAAAATTTTGCCTTATAATTCTTTCTAAGATTTTCATATTTAAAAGCTTTACTATTTACGAATAAAAAACTAACAGATCTGTTTGAAATTACATGAAATAATACGATCCAACTAAAAACTTTTTTGTTGCATTATTTATTACCACCATAGTATATTATATTTTTAGTAGCATGTTCATTAGAACCTTTAATCTTATCATCTAACCCAGCATGATCCCTTTTCTCATGCACATATTCGACAGAACTTGTTGTCACCTTATTAATAGGTTCTTTAATCGAATCCCTTTTCTTATGCACGTCTTTAACAATACCCTTATTCACACCTTTAGTAAGGCCTAGGTCTTTTCAGAAGTGAGAGTGATAAGTAAATTGAATTTATGAGATCATAATAAGTATAATCAAATATTGTTATAAAAATTAATACCTAGTGAAATTGGATTTGGAATTGCCAACGTGCTGGCAATGAAAAGGGTTGAAAATATGGCGGCATAATTGAACTTCATGATTTATTTATAAAAATTTAAGAAAATTTGAAACAATTCGTGTGGAGCTAAAGGAGTTTAGAAGGCCACTTATATAAAGAAATTTTGATTAGCGTCAGATGTAAAACCATCTATCCATTCAAATTAAAATAGAAAATGGTTACCTTTTTTTCTCTTACGCATCATCATCATTACCAATTTTAAATTCGGCTGAGTGTTGAGTATACAGTATTTGGCGTTCTCAAAACCTTGTCATGAAGTGGCTGTAAAGCATGATATTACAATCAATGTGTTGTTAAATTATATCAATAGGAGATGCATGGAAGTTATCTGTTTGTAATGATAGCATATCATACGATGCAAAAATCTTGGTACGTATGTACAGTACGTACGTACATATGTATGTATGTACGGAATGTAGTAATGCATTAAAATTCGAAGCTTTCCAAGTAGAGAATTATACAGCATAGGTCAAAATATTCAAACATGTAATTTATTTAATCAAATAAA